CTTTTCAGAGTGTGTGAATTAGACATAAGATGTTTGAAAAACTGCTAAGCATGTAAGTAAGCAAGTCGAAATCTGTACTGAAGCATCTAGATTAAGATGTTGTTGGTGTAATAATGTTAATTTTGTTTGTATAGTATTTTTTTGCTTTAAGTGTTGTTTGCTGTTAAAATGAACACATTTCTTGCTGGTTTACTCGAAAAAATTATTGAAAAAGCTCATAGTTGCTTATAAGAAAAAAAAAACTATGGAAAATTTGCACACTTTTGATAATGAATTAATTCAGAATATGACAAATACTATATACAGAGTATAAGATAATAATTATATCTATAGCTGAAAGCACTTTTCCATTTTCTAAGATACACTTCTCCAAGAGAACCCCCCTCCCTAGTAAAAACTAAAAAGCACTTTTTACTGATATTAAAAAGTTTCCCCCTTTTTATATTAAAAATTTAATACAAATATATATCCATGCATTCCGATAATACCAACTAATTTAGTCATTTGAATATAATTTAGTATGTGTTGTTAGTTAGCTCTTAAAGTTTGGAGTGTAGAACATTATTGCCAAAACTGCTACACTTTACCTGTTTGTTTCCCGTTTCATCACTAAAACGTCAAGTCTCAAGGACAAGAGGAGTCAAGGTCATATGCATCCTCACCACTTAAAGCAAGCGATTTCATAGTTCTCCATCCTCACCTATTCCTTATTCCTTACAAGGTAATATGCTTGAAAACATGCACATATACTTCAAATTTAAGAGAAAAGCATGGTACTTTTATGATTAAAAATGATGGTACTTTTTGGGATTAAAAAATGATTTGTGAGAGTAATAAAGGTTGGGATGGGAAAAGAGCCACAATATGGTGTCATTTAAAATATCCATGTCTTCAGAAATGATATTTTATGATGCATGATTGTGAATGATATTACCTTATGGGTTTAGGAAATTCAGTTGTTATTTTCTTTTTCAGAAATGCATAGTAGCGCCATTGCACATAAATGCAACAAATTGACATTAACTTGTTCTGTACAAACTGATTGGCATTGTCAGGTCACAGGTGACGCCTGGTTGCAGAGACATTAAAAACTACAGTATTGCTATTGTCGAGACATTACAAATTAGAAAAAAAAAATTAAGTTCTACTGGACATGAGGTTCTGTAGCTTTTTCGAGACATTACAAATTAGAGTTTTACTGGACATGAGGTTCTGTAGCTTTTATTCCCTTCATGTCACGTTTTTGTTATGAAACAGAATTTTAAGTTCTCCGATTTGTGGAATAGTGAAGTGTTAAATAAGTTTTGTCATTTCCTTCTAGAAACTTTACATCTATGCATTAATTTTTTATGCTCTATTCACCTTTCCAGTTTCCACTCTAATTACGTGAATACTTTTTATGCCCTTGTGCAGGAACTGGCGCAAAGAAAATTTTGTTCACAAGGAAGACGTTTCAAAACTCTTGGATGATATTTATATTAATGGGTGACAAATATGAGTTCACTTGTATTTACTTGCAACATGCTACCACAAATTGGAATCTATTTGATATTGAAGTACTGAGTACTTGTTTATGAAGGCAACCTGTGTACTTGTTATAACGTTTAGTAGGAACAAATGTCTTTACTAGAACGTTTAGTTGATGTTAGAAAGTTAATTGATTACTTGTGTATGTATTAATTCTTCCATTACATGGCATTTATGTGATACGGAGTATCTGTTATATATAGAATGGTTCGCCAAATATCATCCAACTATAAGACAAATTTTGAATATGTACAGATAACCAGTGCTATAAAACTTCATACGATGTATATGATTATAAAAGTATGAGCCGCTAGTTTTTTTTATATGAAAACACCGGAATTTTACATCGGTTATTTGTCAAACCGATGTGGAATCTCTTTCACATCGGTCATACCCCATGTAGTAATGTAGTATATTATGTGCAACGACAGAATTAAAGCACTTTCCATATCGGTTATTGAAAATCCGATGTAGATTATTTCACATCGGTCAAAGCCGATGTTATATGTGCTATGGAGCGGCTATGTTAATACTTTTCAAAATCGGGTATTGCACGACCGATGTAGAAAATTTTTTCACATCGGTTATAGAACCGATGTTAAAAGTCTCTACTTTTCACATGGGCTGGAACCACATCGGTTGTTTGACCGATGTGAAAAGCCTTTTTTGACCGATGTGAAAAGCCTCTTTTGTACTAGTGTTTGAGATTGAAAAGGGCATTCAAAAGAATGGAGCAAGACCCTATTGGTGGATACATGGCCTACTTCAATGAACTAGAAGAAGCAGTTCAAGATGATGACAATGCTATAGTGGCAAAGAAGGCAAAGAAGAAGGCAGGGCCACCAACTGATGAAGATTGGGACCAATTTAGTGCATCACTCCGCCCTACAATCCACACGACATTGGATGACATAATAGCAATAGAACAAGCTCTGAACAAGTTAACTCTTCCCAGTGTAATAGATAGTACTTCTACAAATCTTTTAATGGATGAAGTTGGGGCTTTGATGAAACAAAAGTATAGCAAATACTTTGGTGATTTGAAAACGCTAAACCCTTTTGTCATTCTTGGTCTTGTGTTGGATCCAAGTTCAAGCTTTGACATGTAGGTCTTGTGTTAAGAACAATAATGGATTGGACTGGAATCGAAATTTTTGACAAGGAATCTGAGATAAAAAATTCATGTTAACTCTCTATGATGACTATGTTGACAAATCAGGGGATGCTAAGAATATGAAGAAGAGACTTAGGGATGGCCATAAAGAAAGCAATATGAAGAGAGAAAAGAACATAATTGTACGTGGTAACTCAAGCACAAACATGTTTGTAATAGACTGGACTAAACATGTTGAACAACAAGATGAAGTGGTGATCATACATGAGATAGACAAATACCTCAAGGATCCTTTAGAATCAATAGGAAGGAAAGCTAAGAGAGAATGTGAGGAAGATGAAATTTTCATTGATGAAGAAGTGATTGAAGAGGACTATAGAATGTTTGATGTTCTAGGTTGGTGAAAATGTGCATCTGTCAATTATCCTATTTTAGCATTAATGGCTAAAATGTGCATCTGTCAATTGAAAATGTGTATCTGTCAATTATCCTATTTGTTGTCCAAGTTTCAACAGTTGCCTCTGAGAGTGCGTTTAGCACTGGTGGAAGAATTACTGATTCATTTAAGAGTTTCTTATTAACTCCCACTTCAGTTGAGGCATTAATTTGTATGAAAAAATGGCTTCGGTGGGATGACATACTCATTCAATTCCAAGATGAACCATGTGCAGAAGAGCTGGAGTTTTATGAAGGCATTGAGATAGTTATATATTACTTTCAACAAATTTGTAAAAATGAAAATTCCATTATATTCCTTACAAGTATGCACTCTATGTTTATTATTCTATAATCAATACTCTTCTATACAATATTATAACTTTATTTTTAATTGTTATAATTATAAATTATGTTTATACTTTTACAATTGGCAAATGAAAAAGCTGGGAGCTCGGTTAACAATGAAGATCAAGAAGGATGAAGGTCAAGAATGATGCACTTATTAAATTATTTTCATATCCTTACTGTGTTGGACTGTTTAAGTTTTGTAAACTAAAGACTAAATGAGTAAATTGTAATCCTCTGTAAGCTGAGAGAATGGCTAGCAATGTGTTTTTGTTGGACTGTTTTGATATCCTCCAGGCAGTTAGTAACTTGGTAATTAGTATGCTCTTTTTTATCATTTGAAATGGTTGGTAGTGTTTGAACGTTTGTAAACCAAAGACTTAATTGTAATCCTCTGTAAACTGGGAGATCAGCTAGCAATGAGGTTTTGTTGGACTGTGTTGAGTTTTTTAATCTAAATTGTTTGCTCTTTTCTAGACGGTTTCTATCATTTAACTTGGCATGATGGTATCTAGTAATTGAGTGAATACTAATTGCTAGGTTTTAGTAATAATTTTAGCATTAGTTTGAAATTATACCATACCGCTTTGTGCCGGTTCTGAAATGACATGGTACCAAATGGTTTCAATCCTAGAACCGAACCGTATCAGACCGTTTAAAACTTAATGGATTCATTGCGGGTTTTGCTAATTTCTCGGACCGTTCCGGGCCGCGCCCACCCCTATGAGAGACTATTACAAAAGGACAATTTAATAAAATTGGTTTGCAGGTGAAAACGTTTTTTTGGTAGAGGTGTTCGAAGAACACAAAGTTAGAAGGAAATTGCTTTAAATAGGACTAAAAACGTTTTTTATATTAAAAAAATATGCCTATTATGATTAGGGCTGGGCATATCGATTTTCAGTTTGATTTTTTTCGGTTTTGGTTGGTTCGGTATGGAACGGGTTGGAATAATTACTACCAAACAAAAACCATACTATTTTCCGGTTTGGTTCGGTTTGGATTTGTTAATTTTTAATTATATATGAAGGTTTTTTTGAATATCTTTAATTCGGTTCGGTTTTGTTCGGTTTTTATCGGTTTCGGTTGGGTTAAATACGGTTTGGAAGAAATAGTACCAAACTCAAACCAAATTGCATACGGTCCGATTTCGGTTCGGTTTGGTACGGATCGGTTCGATTAAACCAAACCGTTATTGCCACCCCAAATTATGATGGTGTTTGGTTTATAATGTGTCACCTTAAAACAGCGATCTTTTTCAACTATAAACGTTGCAAATTGCAGCGTCTTTGAACCAATCCGTTGAAAAACGAACAAGTCCTATGTTTTTATTTACTAAATAAGAGTGATTACTGTCATGTTTTGACAGTATTAAACTTTAAACTTGGTAGTGTTTTTCAAATATAAAAGTAATTACTCCTATGTAGAGAATAAAAACATGTCAATCATATTTTCGACTTTTTAAACATTTTAAATCATATTTTCCAATCAGAAGAAGCGAAGGATAACCCTATCCACCGTGCAATGTTTAGAAGATGCCAGGTAGGACTGAAGATAGGAAATCCTTTGGGCTCTATGCATTTTCTACCACTCATTTAATTTCCCACTCAATCCCCCCTCTCTCCTATCAAAATCATATCGCTGAACTTCTCTAAACATCCACCAAATAAACGAAAGAGAGCAGAGATAGCCAAGTGATCGAACCGCAAATAAATGGCCTCTACTTGTGCGGTTTCCATGGTGATGCCCCCACTGACAGTTGCGGCCCTCAAGCGGCAGCCAACCGCGGCCGCCTTTGGTTCCTTCTTGAAGCCGATGTCACCGGCGAGACAATCTAAGCCGATCGCGGCGTCAAAACCAGCCGGGAATTTCGAAGTGAGAGCGTCGCTCAAAGACAAGGCTGTTACCGGACTGACGGCAGCCGCACTGACGGCATCCTTGGTGACTCCGGGGGTGGCTGAAGCTGCTGACAGTATCTCGCCGTCTCTGAAGAACTTCTTGCTAAGCATTGTTGCCGGTGGGCTTGTGGTCGCCGTCATTGCTGGCGTCGTCATTGGCGTCTCCAACTTCGATCCTGTTAAGAGGGGCTAAAGAAAGACTCCTTTCATGTAATAATAATAGTACTTAATATTATTATTCCCCCTTTTGTCTGGTGTCTGTATTTTCAGATGATATGGTCAATTTAATTTCTCAGAAACAACCTAATCATATTCAAGATTTCATTTTCCATAATATGCGTTTTTACACTGTTAAGAAAAATATATATATGTGGGTGTTCTTCATAACACACCTTACAATTGCTTTGAGCAAATAATACTCAGTGGTAAATGTTTCCCTCAAGAGGACTCATATGTACCTTCCAATTGTTCAACGAAGATGGGACAAAAAGAATTACACTAAACCCATTAGGTACCTACTCTCCAGAGAAGGATCAACTTTGTCTGCCTTGACAACTGTGGTCTTCACCCTCTGCTCATCACCATATATTTCCTCTTTGATTTTAAGCTTAAATAGAAACTGAGTGAAGAGGCATTTCTTAATTATTCCAGAGAATTTAGAATTGTCTTCATCTTCAAACTTCAACATGTATAGATCCTTAGCTGGGCAACCCAATATCTCTTCCCCTGCTTCCTGGAAGGCGGTCACCCATGTTAACCCAGAATGGTCCTGGATTTGAACTTGAAGAAGGTACCTATAGTCACACTCCTCGAATTCTTGATTGCATCTCTCACAGACCCATTTTGAATCCCCAGACTTGGTTACCTTCTTGTTACACTGTCTATCTCCGATCATCAAAGGGCATGCAGTATAACAGAAGTTGTCAGTCTTGATGAAAGACAATGTTGCCTTAATGGTAACCCAGTCTGGCTTATTTGACCTTCCCAGGCCTTCGTTCTTTATTTGGTAGATGATTTTACGTACCTCGTTCTTAGAACCCGAAGGAATAATATCTCTAGATATGGAATGTGGGGCAGTTTCTTTTCCTCCTTGGTCAAACCATTCCCTTAGTCTAAGAGCTTCTGGAAAATCAGGGTTTATGAAGAGTTGAGTTGCAGAGATGGTTCCTACCGACTTACCATTGAAATCGTTGACTTTTCCTGCTTTAACTGCTAAAACAGGAAAGAAACCAGTGTCTAACATTTCCTGCAGTTGTTGACCTTCCCTGTTACAGAATTCTCCCCACATTGTTAAGTCCACACTCCGCCCAGATTGATCCTTTAGGTTAAGGACTCTCCTTTGAGTCTCCATGCCATTCTTGCGAAGGATGGGAACTGAAGGGTTAACACATATCACGATGCCAATCACGTCTAGTATAGAATTATTTTCAGAATTCTCAATTTCACTAATAGGTCTAAAAGAGAATTGTTGTTTGGGAATGGAAGGGTCCTCTTCTGGACATAGGTCAACTGTAGAGGACGCTTCCAACAATATCTCCCACTCGTTCTTGAGATGGTTGAAGTTCTTCTGTGCAGGTTTTAAGCTTCCTTTTGATACCATGTAAACTTTTCCGACTTCAATTTTCTCGTAAAACCGATCAAGAACGGCGTTGAAGCAGGTTGCACGTATTTCTCCACCATCAGAATCAAGGAGATCAAACGAGAAGACTTTTCCATCTCCCTTAGCATTGTTGTAGCGGCGAATATCACCTTTTGCAGTGACTCTAGCCTTAATAGCCCATCGACCCAAATATGGATTTAGAGCAGCGATTGGGATTATGCGTGCTGGTGCCTCATTCATCATGACTGCCCCATGTGATTTATAGTTTGGAGGTGGTTGGTATGCCGGTTGAATAGTTGGGCGGTTCGTCTGGAAATTATTGCGAACACTTTGTGAGCTCAAACTGTTACTGTTTATTTTCAAGCTCGTTTGCCCATAACTTTGAGAAGGCACGTTGGTGTTTCTATTGAACGTTACAGTCTCAGAATTTGTTCTTGGTTTCTGCACTACTGAATCAGTTTCAACAAGTACATTCGGATTCCCAATAACTTCACAGTCTGGTATGATAGTTTCAAGATTGATTATAACAATAATCCTGTAGCAAGCATGATAAGATTACTGTTATGTCTCAACAAGCAAGATGGAATGTGGAAATGTGGAATACAGATTGAACACGCATGTAGTTTGTATATTCTCAGATTAACACATACAAAAATGTAAGCTTATTTAGTACGGAGTAATTTAATCTCTGATTATGGTTTGGGAACCAAGTAGCCAGAACTCTCCATTGCATTATTACTGAAGTTAATATCTTAGATAACTACATAAGTCTATTATAGGGCACGCATCAAACTTATTAAGATCACAAATGTGGAAAAACGCATCCAGAAGGATAAAAACAATAAATAAATCGAAAGATCAACCCAGTGCAGTATCATCAGTAATTTTCTTACTCGAGCAGCATAATCCCAACCTTAGTTACAGGACTCATCACCACAAACCAAAGCTATTATCACCACGTTTTAGGTGTGAGATATTTATCTTTCACATTCTCAGCAAAGGGAAATCACAGAAAAATACAGACCAACATTTCAGAAACATATGAGGCAACATATATGCGACAGTAATTTGAGCAAACATATGCAATTCAAGGGCTGCGTTAACCAAAATGGCTATTAAACATTACACAGCCTAACACCTATAGACCGCATACACCTAAATATCCGTTTTCTTCAGCCATATCAGTATGGAAATTCAAGAGGGATTTCCTATGGTTGAGACCTCTAATGTCACAATTTAAATTCACGGAGTTGAACTGGAGGAATAAATTCATAGAAATGAGAGCAGTACTTGCGATTTTGAACGGTGCTGCAAATGTACTCTATCAGCTGGACGACGGAACCCTTGCGGATGCGCCCCGTGTTGACTCGATCATTGAGCTGAGTAGCGAGCATCGCTTGCTGAGTGGAGACCGAGTCGGAGAGTAAGAGGCGGTAACGCTCCTGCTTGGTGCCTATGAGCTTGATATCCAGCACCTGGACCAGCGGCTTCGAGTTTAGGTCACCGGCGATGATAGCCTGGACGGCGTTCGCCGTTAAATTCACCGGCGGCATCTGGAAATTTGTGGATCGAGATTTTAGAGGAATTCCGCGAGGGATGAACTTTTCAACAAGAGCAGATCAGAGCAATTCAAAAGCAAAACGGGTTCGATTTGGGTTTTTATATGGACAGGAGAGATGGCGAAATGGCGGGGCGCAAAGTGGGCAACCGTCACTTGGAACCTTATCACGGAAACAGGTAGAAATAATATGGAAACTATTTGTGGGCTCTGTAGTCTCCATTTTGGCCCATTTGAATGTTACATTTTTTGAAATATCTGGGCTTTAGCCCGTATTTAACTGAGAATGTTTCATGAGTTTTTTTCTGGCATAATTTTGTTTCCATGTATTTACATCAATATATTCTTCTGAAAACAATACCAAGTCAGAAAGTTACAGTATTACTGCATAATGCTTCAAACAATTATAAAATATATTGTTTGTTTTTTAAAACTATTTTAGGAGCCATATAAATGACTCATAGGCACATTTTGGTTAATGTGAGAATTGCGATGAATCTCAACCTTTAGATTTACAATATTTCGCTAAACGGTTTTATGTTGCACTAGGATTTAAATCTTGCAAAGCTACAATAAAATAGCTTAAAGTTGTACTACCTTCACCTCCCTAACATTGGTACGGGAGAAGGTGGTGCTGGTATCAAGAAAATTTAGTTTATATTATTGGCATTAAATTGATAAAGTGATAATAAAGTAAAAATAATTTGAAACCACATAAATGTTACCAAATTCGATATGAGACAATCTAAGTGACATAGATTAAAAAAATGAGAAAATCTTAGCAGAACGGATGAAATAATAGAATTTGATGATTTTGCACTAAAACGGCTTCAAATTAGACTAGGCAGATGCAACATTGATTTCCGGAGAAGTATTTATGAAAATGCAATCACACGGTTGCAAATTTTAGTGCAATATGAAGCTCTTTTACTACAGCATAGTCAAATTACAATCAAGGCCGTCTTTTAGGAGGTGCAATAGGTGCTTAGCACCGGGACCCATTCTTGTAGGGGGCCTCCAAAATTTTAGAGTACAAGATTAGTTATAGCTTAGGTTGATTTTTCCATATGTTATGTATTATTCAAGATTCCAAAAGGCATACAACTTTTAGATTCTTTAATTTGTACACTTTAAACATCATAAGGAGTAAAAATTATATTTCATTGAACTATCTAGGGTCTATTAATATTTCATTGTTAAATTTTACTAGTACATTTTTTCTTGCTTTAGGGGCCTCAATTTGTCATTTGGAATCGGGATCTCCAAATTCATTATATTGAGATTCATTTTTTATTTCTCCACTAAATAATACCTGTGATTGGAATCTCACCCTACGTACGAAGTATATTTTAATTTTATAAAAAAGAAATTATATATTTTAAGTAACTAGTTCAAAAGAAATACAGACTACGGAGTACGTAGTATTTGTATTTGGCAAGTAACTTTATCATTTTTAGCAAATTCACCAACTTTAACTATTTATGCTCAATAGACATAATAGAATAAAATGGGGTGCCTGGCTCACCTATAAATATTGAAGAATTGCTAGATCGGAAATTGAAAACCATAAGAATTACGAACAAGACAACATGTATTACATTCATCTATACTTTTGTTGTTTATAGAGAAATTTTCACTTCGCGCGTTATATAGAAGCCTACACTTAAAGAGCATTTTATATCCTTCATATTTTAGAATTCTATTAAAAAATGCTCCTAAAGAGAGAGCTCAACCCAATAATCAAAGAAATTTCACAAAAGAAATGTTAAGGACGCAAAAACAAGAAAAACGACTTTGTAGGTTCTTTTCGACACTATTTGGCTACTTGTTGCTTTGCTGGAACTATAAGCAGCTAAAAAAAATAGGAAAAGTAGATTCCCATTTCCCACTTCACATGCTAGTGTTTGAAACAATTTATTTACTTATTGAACATATTATTTTAATACCTCCCTATTTAGGTTGTCTTGGATTGATTTTGAAAACAGCCAAGGTTGAGTTGGATTGTTATGGAACAATATATGAATGATTGAAGGCGAAAGAAATACTTTTATACTTCGTATCATACTAATCAAAGTAAAGTAGCATAGCTCATTAAATTGTCTGCGCTTCTTTACGATTTTCATCACGGTCATACGGAAATAGTCTCTTCATACTCTAGTATAGAAGTAAGATT